TCCGAGATACCTCCTCGGTTCTCGCTTCCTCGGAGGGCCCTCCGGAGGTCTCCTCCACAGAAGCCGTGGGCCCCGCGTCTCCGACAGGCCCGCCAACCTCCATGGACGAGCCCTCCTCGTGTGAGCCCCCCGCGGCTACCTCATCCCCCTGCGGCCTCGGCGCCGCCAGGTTCACTTTTACCTGTGTCGCCAGGCAGAAGAGAAGTGAGCCCTTAGCCGTGATGGCGCTTGCCGATTTCTCGTCCACGCCCACCACCAACCTTGTGCCCCTTGCATCCTCCGTCCTCTGCCAGACCCTCCAGGTACGGCAATCTAGGCCATTCTGAGCTGCCAGGCAGCGGACTAGTGGCTCATTCGAGACACCCGCCCCCAGGCCCGGAATCCATATCGCCGCCCTTCTCAGTCTCAATCCTTCCGGATCGACCTCCACCAGGTTTGCGAGCCCCCAGGGCCTGACGTTAATCAGCTCCCTGCGAACCCACTCCCTGGTTTCTTCATCCATCATCTCGATCAGGATGTGGCTCCTCCACAGCCTAACTGAGCGTCTCCGGAGAGGGGTGTATTGCCCCCCCTGCATGATATACATGCTTATGCGGAGGTTAAGAGACCCTATGAACCGCAGCAGGTCCTCGGAAGACAGGTCAGTTTCCTGTTCTCTGAGGCCCACCATCAGTTCAGGCCCCCTCCGCCGCCGCTTGTGCATAGGACCGAGTCCCCCTCTCAGAGCCCCCCCGGGACGGCCCGCCTTTCCCGGGCCTAGCTTTCGCCGGGCCGCGTGTCGGCCGCCGACCCCCGGCAGGTGCCCCAACCTGGGTGGTCTCTCCCATTTTTCTTTTCCGCTTCCCGCCTGCCGTTTCCGGTGTGCCCCCTATGGAGCCCTCCGTTGACGGCGTGGCAGGATTCCTGGGCGCCGGAAGAGAGCCCGTCTGCGGTTCCGAAACCGTCACCGCGAGTCTCTTTTTCTTCGCCCTCCTTTTTTCCGCCCCACTCCTATGTCTGGGGCGGTGTGTCATCGAGGTGGTGTTCCCGGTTTGTACCGAGCCCTCCACCCCGCTGGCGACCTGGGGATCCTGTTCGGATCGCCCTTGGAGGGGGCCTTCCTGAGGACGCCCCTGCTTGCTGGAGCCCCCCGGGGGCCCCTTGTCCTTCTTCATTTCTTCGCATTTCATTTTTGGTTCCATAAAGGTCCCACGAGTAGCTAGGGAAACATAACGGTCCACCTCTGCGGAGCCCCGCATGCAGAGGTAAGGCTTCCTTCCCCGAGGTGCGCCCGGTGCCTCGGGGTTGGGCTCGTCGAGCCGGCCCCGACGCCTGGTTTATCAACCGACTACAAGCCAGTTGGCACCGTTATACCCTGTGCAGGCCCTTAGCCACGACACGATAGCTGGGCAGGGTGAGCTGGCCCACGACTGGTTATTTGTCAGCCCTATTGGATTTTTACCACCTCATGCCTCCTTATTTCCAGCCACCCAGGCCCGTGAGGGCCTGGGCTCCCCCATCCGCCACCCGGGGGACGCGCCTCATGGATTGCTCAACCACAGAGGTGGAGAGGGGGTGTTAAATCGATTATTTAATTATTTAATTTATTTAAGTTGTGAACATCAGTTCTGAAGCGAATCTCGCTATACAAATACAAGTCAAAATATAAATGTAGAAAGTTGCTCTATGTAGGTTATCTTCTATTTTACATATTTAACCAGCCATTCAACTTTAACTTATGACTGACCGGAATTCGCTTTTTTCGTCCTATATCTGATATCTTTAGACTCGGAGCATAAACAATATCACAATAGTTAACCTGTGAAAGGACTAGCGAGTAACACAGCATTGATTTTACGTCTCTGGTTTGGACATTTCTGTGTTGATATATCCGTTTTAAGTTCATATAACCTTTCTGGAAGCAACAGCTTACATGCTTTGTGAATCGCATATCCTGATCTAAGGTCAGGCCTAGATTTTTAAAAGTTTCGTAGAATTTAACTGGCTCACCCCGTATTAAAATATCATAACAGCCGATTTATTTGGATTGAGTTGCAAGCAGTGTTTTTGGGAGAATTCGTTTTAAATTTTCAAGATCATAATTAATGGCAGCAAGAGCTTGAATCTTGCATCTGGACAAAAGGACAGGTAAAGCTGCTTGCCATCAGCGTAATAATGTTGACTGCATGACTGAAAAATAGAAGGGAAGTCCGACACATACATTGAAAGAAGGAGGGGACCTAGAATAGAACCTTGAGGTACACCGGTTGTAATATTTCATGGAAGAGAAGTTTTTCCTGCATAAGTCACAACCTGGGATCTATCATCGAGATAATTTGCTATCAAAATGCGTGCATTCTGCATCAGTCCTACATGGTTCAATATTGAATTCAAAATACTTTGATTGAGAGTGTCAAATGCTTTACTATAATCTAACATAATAAGAGTTGTTAGTTTATTTTAATCTGTAACTCATAGTATATCATCAGTAGTTGTTGCCAAAGCTGTGGAGCAGCTATGACCTTTCCTAAATCCGGATTGCGTAAAAAGGAGAATGTGATTTTGCTTTACATGGTTTCCTTTTGTAATTTTCTAATTGTAATTCTATCGCAAAGTGGGAAGAATACTAATTGGGCGTGGGTCATTATATGACAGCTTAGAAATTTTTGCTAGTGGTAATTCCCTAGCTTTTTTCCACTCTGCTGGGAAAACACAATATTTTAAATAAAAATTTATGGCATGAGTAATATAAGGCAGAAGAAAAGGTACACACAATTTGACTGTTAAAATATTAATAGTATCGTCAATTTCTGAGATTTCCGAGAAAGAAAGAGTAGAACGTCCTTTAAACAATTAATATAGAAGCTTACCAAGTAATCGCCAACTGGAAGTTTTCGAACACATTACAATTTTCGGGGATTTGGGTATTTTGCTTTTTTGTAATATTCAATGTTTTTAGGGCGGACCATGTATTTTTTGACTTTTTACTTGAAAATTAAAATAACCTTTCTTTTCTGTACGAATGATTGTTGTTATCATATTCCTTAGCTGCTTGTACTGACTTAAATCGGTTTAATTTTGGTATTTTTTATATCTACCCATGAATTTATCCATGTTGTACATTATCTGCCGTATTTTGTTAGTTAGCCAAGGGGCATATGGTTTAGTGATACGATGGGTTTTATGAGGAACATGAATATTGAGTAACTTTACTATCTACATCTAACAAGTGATAAATATTGTTCTATGGAATAGACCGAAGATCTTGGCTAAACTACTCGTAGTTTATATTTTTAAAATTTCTTGTTGTTTTAAAAACTGGTAAATTAGCTGTAATTTCAATATTGACTTCATAATATGTTAATTGATGGTCACTCAGCCCATCTATATGCACTGAGTTAGATACTGAAATTGTATTTTCTTCCTTAGTTAAAATATAGTCTATAAGTATACCAGAAGATGATGAAATACGCCTGTACCACCCCAATCCTTCACATCATTAGCGTATTTTGTATCGCAACCGTTGACATTTAAAAGGTTAATGTTAAAATCTCCTACACAGTAGCCTGCCTGAGATTCGGTGATTAACGTGGTTAATGTTAATCTAAATATGGGTTAGAGAGAGGTCTATAAACCATTCCTTGTTCAATATTTTTATCTAATGATATTGTATTAAATTTTAAAATCGATCTAATATAGATACCAACACCCCCTTTCCTACTATCTATATCACAACGGACAAAACTGAACCACTCAACTCTAATTATCTCACTTTCAACTGAGCTATTTAACCATGTTTCACTCACCCCAACAACGTCATAATCACCAGAACCCACTACATTCTTAAAATCGTGAAAATCGGCTGTCAAAGATCTTACATTCACATGTGCAATTTTAAGCTTTTTTTCCATTAAAATTTCCAATGCATACCTTTATATACATACATTATTAATTTATACAGTGTATCTTTGACAAATGAGATGAGAAAGTTACTATATACTTTTATGTTTTAAGAAGACAAATATGCCAAAACGAGAAGAGTATTAAAAATACCGAAATTCCTAGATTATTTTTATTATTTATGGAAACAAACGATTTATTATTTATTAAAATGAAAGAACGAAAGTATTCATTAGAGCACTACCACTTTTAGAGATAAAAAAAAACAAAAATCTATTTTTAGAGCTTTGTACATCCCTCGGCACATGCGCGGCATCACGAATCTGTTTTTCACTGCCATCCGCACAAGAAATAAACACTTTACCATTCCAGGTCCAGCAGTTTTTTACACCCACGAATGAACGAATATTTTTAACCAACACTAGATTGGTTTTAGTAAGCTGTTCGTTGATTGCGATTCCTGTACCTTTTTAGTTTTTCTTTATGATTTACAAACCGCACTAACAATGGCCTTGGCTTTTTTCTTATTATCCGGCCTGCCTAAGCGATAACATAAATCGATATCACTCGCAGATAATTCAGAATTAAAATGTGTTTTTATTAATTGACACACCTCTTCGCGAAGGATGTCATTTTTTTTCTCACCAACGCCATTTATAATAAGACCATTAAACATTGGTTCTTGTTGATAGTTATGCATATTTTTTCTCATTTTTTGTATATTGGTTTTTAGGTCCTTGATGGCGGACAAAGTATTTTTTCAAAGGATGCTATTTTTTCGAGAATAATTGCAATATCGTTAGGTGAGCTTTTTGTTTCTTTAGCATCTTTCCTCTTTAGCCCGTACAAGTCTGACTCCCTTTCTTCGAAAAATATGAAGAAATTCTAATAAGAATTTCAGAAAAATTCCAAAGCATTAAAGAAGTGGCTAGAAAGAGAATTAAAGAAAAATATGTATATTTACAAACCAATTGGGGTAATTTTTCCTCCTGCTGTTTAATAATTTTATTGTTGGTTTAAGTCTTTAGTTGTAGATATTCTAGTTTCTATCTTATTCAAGTTATTTTGTTAATTGCAAATTGTCCGGTATTAATGAAATAAATGAATTGCTTTTGTTACAGTGCGAACCAGGGTTGGGAGCCAATGTAATGTACAACCTACTCTATAACGAACCGACGAAGTTGATGCTATTGGCCGGATGTAGCACTGTTTGTACCACCGTTGCTGAGGCTGCCAAAATGTGGAATCTAGTTGTGGTAAGTCATTGGCTATGAAAGTATTTCTTTGCAAAAGTTCTATGTCGCTATATTTACCATTACTTAATTTTATGATGGATTTTTTAAGGTTTTTTTTTTTTTAAATTGGCACGTTTAATTATTTATCAGATTTGAGAAGTTTAGCTTTTTTAAGCTAAAGCTAACCTAAAAAGTAATTTTAAACTTGGTATAAAACTTTAGACAGGTTTGGTAAGGCAAGGTAAACATAATTAAAAATTAAATTAAGAAACGTTTGATGATCAAACCCAACTTAACATTACCTTACATTTTCATTCTTAAAAAATTCTTCCACCGAATTTAGCAAAAATTGTTTTTAATATTCCTTTAAAACATTTTTTTTTCAAGGTTTGCCTTACAGTCGCTATTTATTTGAAATAATTTATTTTCATGCGTTTCTCATATTTTAATAATATTTTTGGTATTATTTTTTGTGAAAATTATCAGGGAATAGATATAGATACAAGAAAAAATATATATTGTATTTTTGTAAATATTCTCTACAAAAATCTGAGCTGCTTATTTTCTGGTAGAATAAATATTTTTCCAGAACCTTTTGAAGTAGTAATTATTCGTGACTTGACCATCCCCCGTCCCCCGGGGGAGATTTTGTGATTGCAAATTTACAGATTCCCAAGCAACCGAAAAAAAAAAAAATAGTTTGACCATTCTACGAGAGATGTCGCCACCCATTAAGAGCTCAGGTTTCGATCGCCAGATGTCACCCTGAATGGGGGGTAGGGGGTAGTTTTCGCGTTAGTGCCTTTTTGGCAATTTCGCCCCGTTAGGGGTAGTTTTTGCGTTAGTGCCTTTTTGTTTTGACGTATTTTTGCGCGAGGTGAAAAAAGCGACCGGTGTGTCGCGCGCGGTCGGGGGATTCGAACCTCGAACCCAGCGCGCTACGTTAATCGAGCCTAGCCGAGCCTAGCCGACGACGATTTCGGCGGCGACGATAAGAGAATTCAACTAATAAAAGGTCGTCGAGGTCGCTTAAAATATAATAATTTATTGACAACATTTTTTTTTTGCGGATTAAATAAAATGCAACAGGGAAAAAGACGTTTAATGACACTAAAATCGAACAAATTGTTTTATTAATCATATACAAAACCCCATCAGGATAGACACATATTAATAAATATATTCGAACGATATGCATATATAAATAGCATATATGGACATAAATAGATACATAAATTAAACACAAATATAAACTACAATCATCTAAAGGAATCGTAACATATTAGTTTGCCAAAAGAAATATCTGGTGGTCGATCAATCAGTGATTTTCCCGCTGTCCTTTGAACCAACTAAATTTCGATGGCCCCAAGCTAGCGTGTACTCTGAGCCGGGTATAAGATGTCGTTTGTCATCCGCGTAAGACAACGCCACCTTATTTTTCAGTTCGACGTACATATCATGTAAATGTGAGCGAAACGAAGACATTTGGCGCAAGATTAGCGTGCCTTCCTCGTGGACAGCGCGCTTATAGTCGTCGAGACTAAGTTCGCGCTGGCTGACCGAGTCAGCAACGCCCTTGGCCTTTTTGGTCAACTCGTTGCCGTCCACATTTACGCAATAAGCTTTCGCTCCCGTACCCAAGAATTCCCACAACAGCCGTCCTGCGTACTCGTCCTTCATTTTACCAAGAACGGACTTGTTTACAGGAATGCCGTGTTGGTTGTTCTCCGAGTAATTAGAAGTATCGAATTTGTCCAAATTTTCTTTCATGTCTTCGTAAAAATTTTCGCAAAAAATTTGGACAACGAGGCTGTCGGTATCGGTGTAGAGTAAGACAGCTTTGTCGCCGTACTTAGCCTTTAGATAGCCGTAAAAAAAGTCGTATATGAGAGTCTTGGATATGTCCAAAATGCAAAATCCGGCGTAAATAGGCTTATCATATACGACTTTAGTCCTTTCCATCTGGAGAGCTACTAGATTTTCGCTAAATATGGCGACATTTTTTAAATTAGGTCTCGCGATTAACGCTTCTGCCCCCAACCTTTTCCCAATATTTTCCCAATGGGAAACGAGTCGCACGTCCACCCTTTTGTCCACATTTTGCATCGTTTTTCCAAACACAGCGTTATTCATAAGTTTGAAAAAATCTTTTTCAAACTTATTTTTAGCTGTATTACGCATCGCCGTATTCAAGTCTATGTATTGTTTTAGCCAGGGAGATTGATCGAAAACAAGAACGCGATGGATGCGAACAAGCTTTAAACCGTTGCTTAAAGCCTGTTGCAGATTCCTATAATGCAATACATAATTACGTTTATTGTTTAAATTTGGAATAAGTTTTCTCATTTTGGTTTTCGCGATTGGCGAAACGATGGATTCCGGGCAAAAAGGCAGTTCGTTGTGTGCGTCATGCAGCACTTCCGGATAGTCCAAATCTACTTCGAAAATATAGCCCCTAGGTGAATCGTTGGGGATACGCGTAATATCTAAATTTTGAATTTTGCCCTCCTCCAACCACTCGAAGTTTCCCGTTGGGAGGTATTGTGACATGGCCGCCCCGTATAAATTGGTAGCGTCCAAGTACATGACGTAAGAAATAGGTTTGGAAGGGTCGTAATTAGGTAAAAATTTATTATTAGCCGCTGCCTTTCTCACACTACACTGACTGACTCCTCCGCGGATACCGTGCTTCAAGAAGTGTATCATGTCCACGTCGGTCAACAGGTCCAGTTCGACCTTTGTCGCCTTCAGGGCGCTCGTCCATGATAGACCCGGTGTCGTATAAAACTGACTCGGGTCCAGACCGTACGTTTTCAGACACACCTCTCTGAAGTTTTTAAAAATATCGGCTAAAAGTAAAACGTCGGATTTTAAATAAATATCTGAATATTCGCCTAAAGTTTTACATTTGAACAAATTCCACACAGTCCAGGCACGCTTGTAATCCTCCCTGGTTATGTTGCTCTTTCGCATGGAGTCATAAAAGTCCTCGTGCGATGGCAGTTTGGTTTCGTCTAATTTTGAAAAAGAATCTAGATACGTATATGGAAAAACGCCCTTCTGTCGAATAAGTTGAAATTCTTGTTCATTTTTAAAAAATTTTTTGACTTCCCGACACTGACTATCGTTCAAATTTCGACTCAATCTGTCCAAACTGGATGCCATAAATCGAAATGAATCTAAAAATCGGAGTTTTAAAAATACCCTTTTCCCTTTGCCTCCTTTCTCCGACTCAATGTTATCGACTAGGACATGTTTCGTAAAGGAAATGTAACGTTCCTTGTTTTGGGCGATAACATCGATCTTTTCCCCTTCTTCAGCCATAACTTTTACAAATAAATGACTGTCGAAACCTAAATGGTGAAAAAAGACAGGGATGTGCCGCGGAACTTTGAAATTCAAGTTGCAAGTGAAGTGAGCCGCACCTCGAAATTCGCCCGTCATATGACAATGCATTAAATGGCTTCTCGCAAATGTGACAAGCCACAGCGTTTCGAAAGCCGGTCTCTTGTTCAAACGATAGAGTGGTCATGGGCACGGAAGTTTTCATGAACTTGTTGTAGAGCGCTTTGCAGTCGCTCTCGAACCATTCAATGAAAATTTTGTGTGCGCCCCGACCTCTGTACTGTTTAAAAGTAGACTGGGAATCGTCAAAGTCACATTTGACATAGTAGGCGAAAGAGTAAGGCCCGTGAATATGAGTTTTGACGGTAAACGATTTGTCGGGATTCGGTTCGCCTTCCACCTGTAAAAGAGTCATGACTGTTTCAAAGTCCGCGTACACAACAAAAGGAACTTTTAATTTCTTTTCAAATTCTTCAAATTTCAGCTTATTCGCGGGAACATCTTTACCGTATTTATCCTTGCGCAATTCGGTGGTCGGAAGTTTGATGGAAATGTGAGTGCAGTCGTGTTCTTTATGACGCTTTAGTTTTTCTTCGTTATAAAAATAAACCAAACACCCATCGCATAAAAACTTTGTAGAGGACCTTTTAGTTAATTGTTTTGAAACCAACCGAGACATACTTCTTATTAAACAATAATGATTTTCTCCATAGTCATTACTAATTAATAATAGGTTTACATGTCTCTCTTTACGAGATTCAGTAAAATGCAAAGGACCAACGACCTCAACATCATTACGGACTTTGTTATAGACTCTCTCGAGGCCATAGACATTGACCGAAATTTCATTAAGTCGTTCAAAAGTGGATATGTCCTTAAGTTTAACGGGAAAATCGATACCTGTAAAATCCAGCTCGTTCTGAAATTCTACATAGTTACTGACCCTGTTAGCGTTATTTGTCCAGTGAATTGGGTGAAGAGCAGCCAAGATCGACCACATAAAGCATTTTTCGTCCGTATTTTGCAAGTTCAAAACAGCTTTTTTGGCTTCGATTTCCTTGGGCAGGTTAACATAGGACGACGCCCTTAGGGGATTGTACTTGTTAATCCCTATTTCTAAATGGAGAAGTTCCTCCAACGCCCAGCCTGTAAAAAAGAGAAAGAAATTAGTTCGGAAATATACATTTTTATGAATCATACCGCTGTCCCTTTCCTGAAACTCGGACGCTTTGGTAGCCAAGATGTCGACGAACTGGACGTATAGCTCCTCCAGATCGGTGTTTCCGCTCACCAGCCGATATTTGGTATTGAAGGACTTGACCTCCTCTTGTTCCTTCGTCTGCAAGAGGAAGTTTCCGAATAGCTCCATACCGACTTTTACGTTGCCGTAGCGTCGGACGTTCGACTCTACCAACGTAAGGATTTTGGACCTAAGGTGGTCCAAGAAGCCCTTAACGTCGGTAGGGTTAATGGTGGACGCCAGACGGTATGTAACTATGCGGTTACGGAAGGAGGTCTGTATCATTTCTACTCCTGGCTCCTGCACCACGCTGCATTTTTGGCGGTGAGCCAAAGTACGCAAGTGTCCTTGCCATCTCATTGCAGGAATGGTCAAGTTACACTGCGTACAATGGCGCGTGGATGATGGTGATGATGATGATGTCGAAGCTATAAAA